CCTCAAGCCCTCAGGGTAGCTGGAGCTGCCTGCACTCTCCTGCCACCATGCAAATAAATGTCTGCACTATTTAAGGCTACCTGATGTGGCACAACAAAGGGTAGGGTGTCTTATTTGCTTGCTTCTTGTGCCCACCTAACTCTTGTATTGGCGCATGCAACATCAGGTGATTATTTCTTTCTACACTGAGAAGAAAACCCTATCTTCCTTATCTCAAGTAAATTTTATGTAGAATAAAACCTTTTACTCCTTTTTACTGAAAAGTAAAAGTGAGATCAGCACACTTTATTTTCTAATAGTGCACTGCTACTTGCTGTACTAATAGCATAGAATCAATAAACCAGGGTCTTGAGAATAAGAAATGTTATCAAGAAGTTGTCTAAACATGGAGTTAGTCAGAAATAACTGCATTCCTAAATTCAAACCCCACTTTATCTGGAACCCCTATTTCAAAACCTGGAATAAGATTTTATTAACTTCACTTCAGATTATCTCTTCCCTTGCCCTGGATAAGTTCTTAATTTTTCATTCATTATTAAGTTTTCCTTTTGTTCCTTGCAAAAATACACTCAAATTACCACTGGTCTTACACATCCATTGGTTAAGTAGTCTTTGTTTGTTTGTTTTTTTTCTCCCCCTCTTATTTAGGACTATGCACTATCAAGATTTGATGCATACTTTGACCAGAAGAAGAAGCTTAAAGTATGAATGCAAGAAGAGTGGACAATCTTACTGTACAAAGAAAGCAGCTGGACAAACTTCCACTGTGCTTAGGCTACTGTATCTGTAATGAAGGTGTTTGGATTTCAAAATATTGGAATCCAGATGTTCAATACTGAAGACTGCAAAAATAACCGACTTGTTTACAGTTCAAGGATCTTTGGAATGAGATTGGGAGGCAAAAGCATAATACAAACAGTGCAATATCCTTTTAATCTAGAAAGCATTTTTACATTATGGGAGAAGCTTACAGATACCACATGCATCAAAAACAAGCAGTGTTACTATGGGTACTTTTTCAGGGGGTTTTTTGACGTGCAGGTGAATGTTACGTGACCAGAATAGTTGTAAATGGTAATGCATTGTAGACACTACTGGTTTATTGAGAACCAATTGTGTGTATGCCGGGCAACTTAAACTGTGAAGTTGGCTGAAAGGCCTTGTTAGGAGATTCCGTTCAATGTGGCCTATGAACACTCTTGAGAGAGCTGCTGGTACATTTTAAAACACCCTTTAACCATTTTGTTGTTAGACATATTAAAGCAGCCTGCTCTTAAAGTGCTGCCTGTATTAAAGATTAATGTGCTTCTCCTTGGTGTCTCTGTCAACTGAAATGTGAATTAATCTTGACCTAGATACTCTGGAGAGAGTTGAATGGCTTGATCATTCCACGTTCTTCACCAAGAACATGCTTTATTACCCAGGCTGGCTGTCTGATGCTTGCACGGGGAGTTTTCTGGGCCGGCAGTATTGGGATGAGTGCCTTGAATTATGCTAATTACTCTCCAAATAACTGGATTGCCATTGATGGTTCCAATTAGAGCAAGTCCTCCTTGCTGAGCGTAGCTACAACCCTGCAGTGCAAGGAGAGGGAGGAATGGGGAGGGGGTTGGGGGGTTTTTGTGGGGGTTCCCCCTAGTTCTCTTTCTTCAAAAAAAACTTCCCTTACTCAGAAGAAAGGGGAATCTCCCCCACCCACCCTAAATACAGAATTGGATTGAGGCGCTTATTTAAATGTCTAAGCTCCATCTTGTTCCCGCAGTCCAGTAAATGGAGCATCTTCGGGGGGGGGGAACAGTAATGTGTATAATCTGTGAAATCTACAGCATATGTGTAAATGTCACCAAGAAATCTTTAGATTTCAGAAACTCATTTTATTTTGACCATTTATTTTATTTGTATTTTCTAACATACTGTATTAAAAACAATAACTCAAGTTGCGTGTCTCTCTTCCTTGCATAGGAGATTTGTTGCAAGTTAAAGAAATGTACAGTATTCATTTGCTACTCTTTAAAAGTAGCCCAGTGTTTAAAAAAAAATTGTTGTCTGAGATGAAATTCAGAATACTGGGGGCGGGAGACCACATTTCTCAAGCTCTAAAACTGTGAAGCATTCATATCTCATCGGGGGGGGGCTGGAAATCAAACCTGACACCTGGTCTCTTATTCTTCTTCTAATCCAAGTTTTAAGATCATGCTGTGTTAACTCTGCCTTTGAAAGTAGGCTATAATAAACAGCATAATAGAGAACAGGTTCATATAGAGATGTCCCTCTTCACCAGAAGGTGAATGTGATGTTCTCAGCTCTACTACACTAGCGTATACCTCTACAAACATTAGTAGGGAAGATCTCCCATTAAAGTTGGCTGGTATAACTAACATAATGTAAATTTTATAGCTTTTAAAGGCAGTTACAATGCAAAACATGAAAATGAGAGAAGTGGGCTTTTTATCTTTGGATGGGGGAGGATTTCTACCCATAGATTGCTGTATAAAGCAAATAAAGCTTAGGTACTTAAACATACTAGATGTAGAGGGACTAATCATGGTGATAAAACTGAGGTCCTCTTGAATGTGAAGAATATAGCTTGAGAAAGCAAAAGGAGAGAGACCAGGTTAAGACAGAAGGAGAACAGTTTCTACTCCATAGCATAACAGTGCTGAGACGATTTAATTTACATGAGATGATTTTGGAGGCAGTTAGCAAGTGTCTGCCAAGCAGGCTATTACCATGTAGTGCATATTGAGGTAGGAGGCCAACTCCAGAGCAGGGTTGAGTGGTGTTTGAAGGTGGTGTATGGCTGGAAGGAGAGTACTAATGCAGCTTCCTGATCAGTTTGGGACTAAATTGCCAGCAAGTCTCTACCAAAATAACAGGGAACCTCATCAGTACAATTGGATTAAACAGAGCAGTAGAGTGAATTCACACATCCCAATCCATAGTACAAAGTGCAAGGTTATGCATAAGGTTTCAAGTTCCTATTGTAGGCTGGAGTCCATCTATTGGATGAACTTGGCAGCATGATGGCTACCGCCCATCAGATATAGCCACGTTGATACAGCTTTGGAAAAGGCAAATATGAGCGTAAGATGCATTTAGCTGAGGTGTTTCCTGTATTACCAGGATTAAATTTAATGTCATGTCAAGATGTTACATTCTCACCTTTTCATGTGTTTTATACACTGTTCTGCTTAGCCATACTGAAGGGAGACTTGATTCAAAATGAAAAAGGTGAAGATAACTGCCACTCTAACAAAAAGGAAATGACCTAGTTTGCAACAGGAGGTTAAAAATCTTTGATTCGTTTATCTTAGCAAACCAAAGTCTGAAAGGGGATATGATTGTTTTATCTATAAATACTTTGGGGGTTAAATTCCAAGGAAGGAGAAAAAGCCTAAAGAGCAATGGCTTTTAATGTAGAAACTGGCTATGATTCAGATTAGATGGGAAGTTTCTGAGCATGGTTATCAAAGTTGCAAGGTTGGATCAGCCTTTGAGTTGTCACATAGGCAAAAACCCAGACTCAGATTTTGGTTGATCTGACAGGGATATAGGGATGTTTGCCTGCAATAGCAGGGGCCTGGACTTAATTTGGGAGGCCTTTCTGATCCTAAACTCTTAAGTGTTTGCTGCTTAGTTACTGGGGCTCCCTGGATGCTGACCAATGGGTTATTCACCTGTTACCCTAAGCACAGGCTTTAAAACATTCAAATATTTTATGGTGTTACTTAGCTAAAGCTACAAACAATACACTGCCATTAGGTGCAGTGCTCCTGTGCTTCAGTTCAGGTTGGTTCTTGCATCTAGCTCATTACCAGATGACACCTGTGAGTGGACAGGCTTTCTTCCTCATATGGTAATTTGGGGGGGGGGGG